AGGTAACGTAATGGATATGGTTTGTGAGAAAAGTAATTTATGGTCAATGCATGCTTAAATGTATTTATTTTAAGACACTGATGCCTTTTAAACTCTTGCCAGCCATTTTAAATGTCTCGGCAGGCCTCACTCACTTGGCCCGTGGTCCTTGAAACAGACACGTGACGTAAGGGAAGGGTAACCAACTAACTGCTTTGCGCCCCAGCTACAGGCCGACTTTGCGGCTCAGCCTTTGGCCAGCAATCGTGATGAAATGATTTTGGATTCTGACAAACCGGTGAATTCATTTTGAATTGGCATTGTGTGAACATGAATATCGGTGAAGCATGGAAGCCAAAGTAATAAGCAATGTCTGTAGCATTTTTATAGCATCATCATTCAGACCGCTCAAACTGTTGCCACTGTACTTGTCCTCATTTCCTAAGAAGCCAAACTGTTGATGAGACACTTTGCGAAAAAGAAGACAAACTAGAGTTATTGCCATCCATCTATCCATCTTCCTCCACTTCTCCGGGGTGGAGTCATGGGGGTGGGGTGGGGAGATAGCAGCTTTAGCAGGGAAGCCCAGCCTTCCCTCTCCACAGTCAATTCATCCAGTGGGGGGGAATCCCAAGGCCTTCTCAAGCCAATCAGGAGACAGTCTCTTGAGCATGTCCCAGGTCATCCTCGGGGGCCTTCCTCTGGCGGGATGTGTCCGGATTAACACCCCCGACCCCGGTTGGTGTTCAGAAGGCATCCTGATCTGATGCCAGAGCCACCTCAGTTGACTCCTCCCATTGCAGAAGAACAGCGGCACTACGCTGAGCCTCTCATGGATGACCGAGCTTCTCACCCTTCCTATAGATGTTGCAATTTGCTCAGAAAAAGAACAGATGTAAGCTATTATATGTTCTTATACATTTATTTTCTTTTATTTTTAAAACGTGCCAAAAAGTCCAAAACCGTGATTTTTTTTTTTTCTGGTATATTATCTCTGTTCATAGATTCTGCCGAGATCATTTGAAATCTCTTGTCAACCAAAACAGCATTATTTCTTGAACTGCTAGAGATTTTTTTTTTTTTCTGCCGAGATCATTTGAAATCTGTTGTCAACCAAAACAGCATTATTTCTTGAACTGATAGAGATTTTTTTTTTTTTTTTAATGATTCTGATATCTGCCGGGAAAGAAAAATCTGGGAACGGATTAATCGGCCACTTAATTTAAATATGTATACCATGAATGAGAACTTTTTGTGGGGGTGTTCCTTACTGCTTACAACAACAAAAACGATGAGTCACAACCGGAATATTTAACTGTTTTACAATACTTTGTTCATTACTGTTTGTTGAAGTACAACAGAGTGGTTCAAAAACTTCATAAACATCTCCAAAAGATGCTGAATTTATCTTTAGTTTAGGCCATATCCTATCTGTCAGATCTTCTTCAGATCTCTATCCCTTCCCGCTCATTATAGACAGGCACTCGTGCGCTCAGCGTAAACATTGGTGCATCTTCATTTTCATGCCAGGGCAAGTCTAGTTTACTCTGTTTGGGAAAACTGCTCGTCACCACTCTTACAATAAATCGACAATGAGTCAATACAATTTCGTTCAAAGATGGCAGACATGTCACAATCTCTCAAAAAGATTCATTCCCCCCTTGCTGAGAATGGACCATAAAATAAAACCGACCATCCGACTTGAGAAGGGAGTGCAACCGATTCATTTATATAGATCAATAAATTTGTTCATTTTTAAGGAATGTGATGCAAGCGCTTGTTCAAAGTTGCGATCATTTGACAGATGTTGGTGCATAATGGATGCAGTAAGGGTTGAAAATGCATGGGCTGCGTGCAGCAGCGGATAAACCCAATGACCTGGCTGTTTTCCAAGATAGAAGGTTGAAGCATCGCTGAGTGTGCGTGCGCGCGCATGTGTGTGTGTGTGTGTGTGTGTGTGCGTGTGTGTGTGCGTGCGTGCGTGCGTGCGTGCGTGCGTGCGTGTGTGTGTGTGTTTAAGTGGCCTTTTCAAGCAATTCCAGCGCAGTCCATTTTACCTGTCTTAGCCTCACTCCTTATGAAAACCAATCACGTTTTGGCTGCCCGTCACAGATATTGAGTCTTCGGCTCGTTTTTATCTCCCACTTCAGTCATTAGGACCTTTTATCCCAAGATACCGCTACCCCCCACGACCCTACCCCACACCCCTCCTACCTTTCTTTTGTCTTTCTCTGCCATCGCTGAGTTTTCCACAGAACCAAATTAAGAAGCACTCTCAAAAAGCAGGGGAAATATACCAACTGAACGATGAAGGTCAGATGCTATTTATTCAAAGACAAAGCAGGAAAAGTGTGTTCACGTTTGGAATCGAATAGATATACCGTAGATAGATAGACAAATACCACGGAGGAACATCTCGACTGTGAGGCGTGCTGAGCACTCGTCCACCAAAATGACGATAATCTGGTTCAGATAACATATGAATACATGTGCAGTATATCAACAATTATACATTCATACAATTTACAAACAATATACTGTCATTCGGTATTGCTTTTATTTGTAACGCAGTATAGCGCGATTAAAGAGTGACCGAACTGGGGTGTGGCCTGCCTCTCGCCCAGGGTCAGCTGGGATAAGGTCCAAGAAATGCAGTTGAGAAAATGGATGGACGGATGGAATGGCGGCGTAGAAAAGCAGGACAGATGTCTGTCCTAATAATAACAATGAAAAGCAAAGCTGAAAATGATCTGCTTTTTGCTTTTTTGTGAAAAGACGCCACTCCCAAGAAAAAGCAGTCGTCGCCCGGGTCAGTGACCCGTCTACAAAGTTAAAGTTGAATAGCTGCTCTGTTGTTTTTATCTGCAGTTAAACTTCTTTTTGTATTACTGTTGACATTTTTTTAATGTTGTTTAAACCCTTTTGCATATGGTCACAAAAATATGATGAGGGTGAAAGGTTGACCGGTTCCGTCACGTGAAAATAGAATTCAATACAAACTCAAAAAGAACTATTATGGGATAATTCAAAAGTCAAACAATATCGTCAAACAACCACTGGAAAAATGGTTTGCACTTTTGAACAATATCGAACAACATTTTCATCAAATTTGTCGAAGAAGCAAGATATTACTTATGAGAATAAACTAAAACTAAATCGTAAGAAATTGGTATCAACCGGTATCCCGACTGGCTAGCACGTCGACCTCACAGTGCAGAGTTACCGGGTTCGATTCCAGCTCCGGCCTTCCTGTGTGGAATTTGCATGTTCTCCCCGTGCCTGCGTGGCTTTTCTCCGGGTACTCCGGTTTACTCCCACATTCCAAAAACACGTATGGCAGACTGATTGAACACTCCAAATTGTCCCTAGGTGTGAGTGTGAGCGCGGATGGTTGTCCGTCTCTGTGTGCCCTGCGATTGGCTGGCAACCGGTTCAGGGTGTCCTCCGCCTTATGAGAATAAACTAAAACTAAATCTGAAGAAATTGGTATTAACCGGTATCCCGACTGGTTATCACGTCGACCTCACAGTGCAGAGTTACCGGGTTCGATTCCAGCTCCGGCCTTCCTGTGTGGAATTTGCATGTTCTCCCCGTGCCTGC